AAATTCATACCTCAGGTTAGCCCCTCAAAATGGACCCATTGGAAAAACAACAAAAGACTTACTTATTATATTTTGCATTTTTGATTCAATGCATTCCTTCGCTCTCTCGTGGAAAGACTGGGTCATGGAACCCCATTTTCTTTGAGGATCTTTGCTTGACAGTGAGCTGGATACAAGCAGAAGTAGCTTCTCAAGGGACCCTCAGGAGAAACTTAGGTTGGTGTGCCACTTTCAGACTTGCTGCAGGCGTGTTCAAGTATTGCCAGAGAACTGAGAAGCAAAGAGCGGCTATTCCCTGGGAGAGTCAGAAGAAGTAGCTCAACAGGGAAACATTGGATGACTCATGTGTGATGAGTTTGAGTCACAGGCAGAGACAACAGCAAGGGCTTTGTAGAAAAGGCAGAACAAGCCCAAAGGTGAGAACCATGATACTTGACCATAGTATATCCTGAAAGATCAGAGTCAGCAATAGAGAAGAAGGGAATAGCAGGGCTTTGGGAATCATGGATGCTGAAAAAAAGAAGGTAAACAAAAGAAACACTGCAGACCATGCTAAAGAACTTTGTTAGGAAAAGAAAGCCACTATCCACAAACCTTGTAACTTAAGTGATAGTATACATCATGTGTTATATCCAAAAAAAAATCCCTTTGTCTTTACTTTAAATATAGGTAACGTATGCTTTTACATAACGTTTTTCTACAGTACTTTACTTTTAAGTATATTTGCTTTTTAAAAGAAACTGTCATGCTGTAAACAGAAAACTAGTATATTTGCAATGAATTCTAGGTCATCATTGAAATGTAATGAACGTAAATCTCCCCGGTTAATTCATTACTTAGGAAAGCCACTGACCCTGAAACCTGCAGTCAGTTTATTAAAGGCATTCTAAATTTTGGAGATGGATTAAATTCTAGCACCAAACTAAGTATCCTTAAATGAACGGGGAGAAAGAAGACTGAACAACAAATAGTTTTCTCACACTGTAAATGAGGTCTGTTTATAATGGGTCCTAGGGTGTGTCTGACACAGTATAGATATGCATCCCATACCTGAAGCAATGTCGTTTAGGGAGTGTGGGACATCTGAGGTTTGGGAGCTAATTTTGGGTGACCAAGTCAATTTTACCCAAAGAGATATTAACTGGACTAGAAAGAGAGACGAATAGGAGAAAGGAGACCAGTGTGTGATGGTTGTGGGAAAGGATCCCAGTATAACCCAGTTAGTGCAGTGAGGGTACAGAAAAGGGTCCAGATTCAAAAGGGATTTGGGATAAAGCCACAAACTTTTGTCTGAGCAAGGTGGGATAGGGACCAAGAGAACAGAGGGACAGACAATGCCTTAAGTGAATGACTTGAGAGACTATATAAATGACACTGTGGTTGTTCAAGACAAGATCAACAGAGTAGTGAGGGGGCTTGAGGAAAGGGAAGATTGGACATAGAGGTGAAGAGAGCTAGACCCCTAGATCTGATTCACTGCCATTCAGAGAGCCTTGCATATTCTGGATCTGCATTACTGCTTGCTGGGAACATGGTTGGCTTTTTATGGTTACGGGGTAACTGAAATGTCCTTGCTAGTGCTCAGAGCATCCCATATGCCAGCTAGATGATAGGAGACTGTTTTGCCTATAAACGAGCACCGTAAACATCCACCTCACTATTGATGGTTTTAAAATTTTGTGACTCCATCAGGTAGACAAATTGAAGGCACACTAAACATATTTACTGTCCTAAGATGTTAAAGGTGAACGTATCTAAAAGCAAAACATCACTAAGAACCTTCTTAGGTAAGCAATCTACTAGGAGTTTTGAAGGATAGAGAGCTAAATTAGGCACAGATATTGTTTTCATAGGACTTGTAAAGACTGAGATAAAAATTTTTTCAGGGACTTAAATTATTTTCATGTGTCAAGCATTGTGCATAATCTCTAGAGAATAAATATAACCTCAAAAATCTCCCAGTAGCTGTAGTTAATGTAAAATTTGTTCCCATGGATGATTAGAATGTTATGATGGTACCAGAGCAAAATAACAATAAAGTGAATTTGGTGGTATGCTTAAAGAATTGAAATGGAAAGTCTTGCCTGCCAGTAATAATCTTTTTTCTTATGCTGTGTATTTGCCCAGCTTAGGAGAAATAAGTGAATGTTTGTCTTTTGTTTGTTGCATTTCTGCCCATGCAAACACGTGACATGGCAACAAAATTGAGCATTCTCATGAAACCCATTAATTCATTTTTCATAAGCAAGTTAACCCCCCTTGGTAATCAAGACAGGCTAGAAGGCACAGAATTCATCCTAAGCCCACAAAACAACCATAGGCTTGAATGAGGAAAAAGACAACATTCCCAAATGTTGACGCTCCTTCTTCAGTTTCGAGACCTTTCTGTGGAAAGAAGTGTTTTCATAAAACACAGACAGAATTAATTTACATAGAGCACTCTTAACGGCTCCTGTCAGAACAAAACAGCTGGGAAACATATGGTACCCATTTCCCTGTATCACTTGGGGAAAAAAAAAAGTTCACATGTAAATAAAGCCACCATAAAAGAATGGCCCTTTGAACCTGTGACCTTACTAATACATAAATATATCAGTAGAGGACACTCGTTGCATTGACCCACTAAGCCATGTGGCTTTAAATATTTTTAATACATTCTAAGATTCATAGTTTTTAGAAACTCCAAAGAAATCAAGGTAATTGACAAAATATCAGCAGATACCATGCCAAACAATTCTGTGTCTCAGAATGTCTATGAATAGGTTTCCCCACAATATTTATAGATTTGGAGAAAGTTAGTAAAATCAAATGTCTATTTACCTCTTATAAGCTCCACGGTCTGTCTCCCTATTGTTTTATGGGAAACAGACACTGTTCTTAAGGCAGAGAAAATGATTTGGCAGAAATTTCTGGCAAATGATAACTTTTCATAGCTCTGCTTTTTTTTTTTTTTTTTTTTTTTTTTTTTACGAAGACAAGAACATATAAAAGACAGAAAGTTTTTACATTTATAGGGAACTGATTGGGATAATTGGCCTATGCCTTTACATATTGACATTTCATAAATGACTTTAAAGTATCTAGCTTTTCCTGGCGATTATCACTCCTTTGGGTTTATTACAGGAACTCATTTCCCCCTGTGAAATTAAGCTGCAAATCCCTCAGAAGGATTCACTTTATGCATGTTAAAAGATAGAATGAATTGTGCAAAGTGAGATTCAAGTTCACATATTTGTGTTTGTTAATTGTCTGTCCCAGGCCAAGCACTGTCTATGGTTCAGAACTCTAGACAAAACGGTGTGGGTAAGAGAAGCAGGAGGCCATCTAGATGCCTTCCTTCCCTCCTGGCTATTCCTTGCTATATGTTGTTCATTGAGAAGAAACCAATCCCCCTCCCAGAGATTTTAGGAGCTCTTTGCTTCTAAAGGTTGAGAGTGAGGAAAGCCTCCAGGGTGAACTGTGCAGTACAGACTTGCTGAACCCAATGTCACATTGTTTACCATCGGAGAACAGAACTTAGGATTTTATGGTTGGCAGGCTCGGAACACTCTTTGCTTTATTCCATAACTTCTCTGAATGCTTCTGGGACACATCTCAGAATAAACAATGACCAGTAACACAAATTTAGGGAACCCTTTAACTGTAAGAATCAGTCATTACCAGAGGCTATAATAAAGCTTACAAACCTGAGCACCCCTATTGTCTCAAGGTCTCTCACATAAACCTGAGCACTCACTCCTTTGTCTCAGGGTCTCTTGTGCCCAATAGCAAAGACAAGTAGATTTGCTTATTCTGGGGTGAAACCCTTCCCAATTCCACTTGTTTCATAGAATAGAGGATAGTTGGACGAAAGCTTTATCTGCCTTATGAAAGATGATAGAATAGAAACCTGTAAAGTAGCCCACTAGCCTGCAAGAGTGCTAGGTCATCGTCCTTCTAGTAGAGGAATTGTCTCAGACAAAATGGAGCTGTGCTGTGGGGAGAGCACTGTAGCTTCATCAGCCCAATCTGAGATATGCTACCAGCTTCTTGCTTGTATTCAGGCATATTAGAAGAAGTTGATGTTTTTATCTTTTATCTCCAAATGTGTCTGGCTGCCTCACTGTCCATCTCAACCAGTTGAATGTAGGCCTGCATGCAATCTTTATTTTAACTGCATAGAAATGAAGTAAATTGGAAAAAAAAAAAAGTAAGTTTGAATACTAGTCTGCCTTCCCTATCCAACCTTCCAGCCTTCCCTTTCTCTTGTTTCTACCTTCCCCAACCTGGATGGCAGTGTTACTCAAAGAGCACGTTCTGTTGTCAAATGGAAATGCATTATGTTGTGTCACAGTCTGAGAAGTCCCAGGAGATGGCTCTACACAATGTTTGTCTAAGATGCTTAGTGTAGAATGGGTTGACTCAACCATGGCCATCCTCCGGTGAACCGATGAGCACCTCACCACTTTATGCTTTTCTTTGCTGTCCCTAACCCTATGATGGCAAACTATCAAGTCACATAGCAGGTCACAATTTTAATTTGTAGAAAATGAGCCATGTTTTCTTAACATGGATGTCTTAAACATTAGAGATGTGTGTACAGGCTAATGCATGCTTATGCGCGTGTATGTGTACACATGTATCTTGTTCACTGGCTTAGTTTGGAGACCCATCCCTGTTCTGGTTTTGGTTTTGTTTTAGAGTGGTGACAAACTTGTAAATGGTACCAGGGATGCCAAGCCATAAACTATCTGTCAGGGTTTATTTAACTTTCTACTTTTTATCACTATTGCTACTTCAGTTAGTTCTGGGTCATTATATCATGACTATCTTATCTCTCTCTGCCTTGCAGTGGTTAAGCATAAAGCATTAGTTTTATGGGTGTATATGTCCTCTCGTGCTTTATCCCCTTCCACAGGGGCCTACTGTGAGTATAACGTAAGTGAGCCATGTCTACCTACGTGGCCAAACTGTATTCAGATACTAATTTAATTGTCTCCTCTATTATTTTTTTTTAATAGTTTCTAGCTCTAGCTGGAATTGCGGTGTCTCAGCTCTCATTACAAACACACAAAAGCCCACTGGAATCGCTGATGTATACAGTAAGTTCCGCCCAGTGAAGCGGGTTTCTCCCCTGAAACATCAACCAGAGACTCTGGAAAACAACGAAAACGATGACCAAAAGAACACTACAGTAGAGTACCAGAAAGGTGTGGAGACTGAGCAAGGCCCCCAGCCAGAGGAACTCAGCCCTGAAGATGGAGTCAGGGGGTTGCCAGGCAAGGGCTCCGAGCCCAGCCAGGCACTGGGCGAGCTGGAGCATTATGACCTTGACATGGATGAAATTCTGGATGTGCCTTACATTAAATCCAGTCAACAGCTGGCCCCGCTCACCAAGGTGACTTCCGATAAAAGGATTTTAGGTTTAGGCACAAACATCAATGGCCTTTCTGGTAAACCCTGTCCTATTGGAAGCACTGAGAACTCCACAGCCAACATGACTCCGTTTTGTGTTCTTTCTCCTGTGAAAAGCCCTCACTTAAGGAAAGCATCGACTGCCCTCCGGGACCAGCACAAGCTCTCCACAGAAGACTCTGAGAACTCCCCTGCTCTGGGTAAATGTGTCCCCGCGTATGAGTCAGAGCACCACAATAAAGACTTCCTAAACAAGGCCTTTAGTGATCACCATGGTCGAAAAATCGAGAAGACCGGGCCAGACTGCAAGCTTAGGGCTTTCCACCTGCAGTCCTCAGCAGCAGGGGCGAAAGCAGAAGAGCAGGTCAATGGCATGAACTGGACCAATGCCCAAGGTGGGGAAGAAAGGAGTGAGTACCTGAAGAAAGTAAGAAGCATAGTGAACATTGTGAAAGAGGGCCAGATATCGCTCTTGGTGAGTACTGTCTGTCTGTCTGTCCTCAAACTCCATCTTATAACAGGATGACTGTTTGTTTCACGTCTTTCTGTGAAGTGTTGGGTTTTGTTGTTGTTGTTGTTGTTGTTGTTGTTGTTGTTTTTTAAGTTCTTTGAGAACTTCCTATAACATGCTTTCTTCATATTCACTCCCTTTGTTTTTGTTTCTTGCTGCATCTTGTAGCTTTAGTTGAGAGGGGTTAGGTTTTCAACGCTAAGGTTAGGGGGTTAATGCACGGGACACAAATGGCTCCAGAAGGCTGTTAGTGGAGTTTAACATCGTCTGACCTCAGCTGGAATAACGAGGTTTAATCTATAAGGAAAACAAAACAAAGAGCCCAGTACTGTTTTCCAGATGAGTTGTAATGCCTTTTTCTTTCTTTCTTCCTCCCTTTCTTTCCTTCTTTCTTTCTTTTCAAACGGTTCCCCTTGCTCTCCGTTTCTTTGGGGATGTCAGTTTTTAGCTGATGGTGGACCTGCCAGATCTGTGAACAGAGAGTTCTCTGTTTCACCCTGATCATTATTCAGAAGAGTTGGGCCAGGGGGGTTGGAAAACATTTGCAGATACAGCTTCCCCTGGAGTTTAATTGTTCTCTGACACACATAGGGTTTTTGCTTTGCTCCAACACGTCACCAAAGACTCCAGACACAGAGTTACTTGGTGTAAGAAATATCTATTGAGAAAGCGAGGCTAAATAAAACAGCATTCCATCTGTTGCATGGTTCTTTTCTAGCTTCCAGACACTGGTCAAACAGTAGCGACCCTGGGCCAAGGAGAATTAAAGTCTCCTTCAGAAAACTCACTACATCACAGCATGGTTGATTCCCCAAAATGTTAACATACACAGATAAACTGTACTGTGCTGGGACTGTCATCATGCACAGGACAGTATGACTGAATGATTTTACCAAATGAAGCCGCAACTTTTTTCTCTTGAAAATGTCTTTTCCATTTTTCCTGGCTGTTTCCTCTGGTTCATTCTTTTCCTTTGTCCCACAAAGTCAGAAGTCAAAAGTGCTAACACCACTCAGTTTACCTAAAATATTTTATCAAAACTTCATACTGTGAGGAATAAATTTCTCCAGAGAGAGAAAAACAAAACAAAGAAAGCCAAAGAACCAAGTTTCCCCCAGATATCCCAGACACCCATGGGAGTCACTGGCAAGTCTAGAGGTCCCTGTGAATGCTGCAGGAGCCACAGCCTTTAGGTAACATGTAGAGGGAGCAAGCCTGACAAGTGAGACCCCCAAAACAAGTACTTCATTCATTCAACAAACTTACAGCAGCCAATAAAGCATAGCCCTGCCCATCAAGAACTTAGTGGTGTGGTGACAGAGACAGAGAAGCTGCCATTTGCCATCAGTGTCACCTCAGGGATCTAAACATCCAACTGGAAACCTTTGCAGTCCATTGGTCCTAGCTTGGTGACTTTTTCATGAAACCATTTGTCCCTTGAGAGCATGTGTTCTAAAGCAGAGGTCCTCAACCCCTTGATTCAGTTCCTCGTGTTGTGATGACCCCCAACCTTAAAATTATTTCATTGTTATTTCATAACTGTGATTTTTGTTACTGTTATGAATCATAATGTAAATAGCTGTGCTTTCTGATGGTCTTAGACACCTTGCAAAAGAGTCATTCAACCCTCAAAGGGGTCACACCCCACAGGTTGAGAACCACTAGTCTAAAACCACTGTTCTAAAGCTTGTTGCAAGCAAGACTCTGACTAACTAGAACCTTGCAATGCCACCAGAGCCCTTGTGAGCTATTCCTTCCCTCCATAGCGTCCTGTTTTGACTTATTGATTGAAACATTCCTCTTTCTGTGCAGCCACACCTTGCTGCCGACAATCTGGACAAAATTCATGACGAGAACGGAAACAATCTGTTACACGTCGCTGCGTCCAAAGGGCATGCAGAGTGTCTACAGCACCTGACATCTCTGATGGGCGAAGACTGCCTCAATGAAAGGAACACAGAGCAGCTGACTCCAGCCGGCCTGGCCATCAAGGTGACCTCTTGTGGGCTGAGCTGTCCTGGGCTTTGTCTTTGGTTTTCATCTCCATTTTTTTTTTTTTTTTCAGATTTCTTGTGAGCTAGGCTGTTGGAAGAGGGAGAGGAAAGGGTGATGTATTAAGCAAACAGCAAATGAATGTATTGTATGTAAGAAGTTAATCATTTCAGTCACTACTGAGATTTTAAGGCATTCCAGCTTATTATCCAATAAGGATAATTTCCAAATCAAGCCACAAAGAAAGAAGATGACCCCCTGCAGGGATGAGAATTTTGCTACTCACAGTAATTGCAATTTGGATTCTTACCCACACCTGGATCTCTCAGAAACTGTGTCAGTTTTTCCAAACATGAGAATACGAAGCAAGGAAAATTAGATCAAGGTGTGCTGTTAAAGAAAGCTAGCACTTAGGAGGTCCTGAAAATAATGTGGGCTTTTATTTTTTATATGTCAAAATGTTTTTTACTATTCATCAAATTGATGCCTCTGTATTTGTGTTATGACAAAAAATCAGATGTATGGTATCTATATTTTTTTGTGGAAAATTAAAGAAATGCATTTTTTTACATATGAATCAAAAATAGGATAAGAAATAACAAAAAATGAGAAATATAGCCAGCAAGCTCCTTAAGAACAAAGACACCTCCATATTTGCTATGATTCTTCACTATAATGTGGACTTTTAATGGATCAAATCTGTGTTTAAATGTCATCAGCATCAAAACTGATTACAGCATCATTGAGGAGTCATATTTAGATCTCCAAAACAGCACAATGTGTTATCTGTAAAGTGTGTGTGAATTAATGCCAACTAGGGTGGAATTAAAACCTGGACCATAACACAATAAATCAAGGACCTTTACACCACTGTGGTAAAATCGTCTGGAGACCGACCAAGTCACGTGAAGGTTAGCTATTAAACTAAAATGACTGTTTGGATCTTTCAGTCATACTTACTAAGAAACCAGAAGTGAAGTTCAGAGAAATAGAATGCATCTTGTCCTCCTGTATATACACTACTTGCTTTAAGTGGTAGCTGGATCGTCTTAAAGCCAAACACACCATGTATATAAATGGAATTGCATAAGTATTGAATGGAAGAACCAGCTAGCTAAGGAAACCTACACATGAACTTACTAAGGAACACATTTCCCTTTTAGAATAATAGATTTATATTCTATCACTAATATGTCTTATACACAAAACTGATTTTTTTAACTTTAATGCATTTATTAGGCAGTAAAGTTTATATGTTTAAAAAATGTTATTTAATTTTATTTTGCTCCCTGGTAAAGTGTGGTTTTATCTATGAAAAATTTGCATAGTAAATATTTTGTTACAAAGAAAGCTCTGATGCCGGGGAATATATTTTTCTCTGGTTGTAAATATCATATCAGAGCTGAGTTTACTACAGTCAATGTGGAAAAAGACTGAATTCAAAGGAAAAAACTTGTCTCAGTAGAGTTGAGTTCAATGTGTGCCAAAGCCAACGAATACTATGTTATTAGGTGCTAAAAATTTGCATGAGACATAGTACCTATTCCTAAGTAGCTGATATACCTAGAGACTAAAGCAGGTACCTTGGTACTGGTAATGACACAGTTCAGTGAGATGATTGGGTGGAGGGTGGTCATTCATGAGCATATGTCAGTGACAAATATCCTTATAATGCCAGAGAATGTTGGTACCTTCCGTATTTATAGAATGGTTTGGTTTTTATAAAATGTAGTTCTCATTAGCTTTCCTAGCTAATGTTAGGTGATTGAATATTTCCTCGTTATATAATTGAATGAAAGCATATCTTTTCCTAATTTACATGCCTTACTGCTTATTTTGGATGGATTAAAAGTTTTAGAGTATAAAGGTTCATAAGAAACTTAGCAGCCATTAAGCCAACCCTTAGTGTGAATAGCTTCCATGCTAGCTACACATGAGCAGTTAATTTATTCCAAAACTTTAGCCACCCAGTACAGCCATCACCAACAGGTCTGCAGGCTTACACGGCAATTTCTGCTTTAATTTGAAGGACATACACATACACACACACACACACACACACACACACACACACACACACACACCTACCTAAAGCCCTCAAGGATAGAAAGCTCTTTCAGATTGGGGAGCTGGGCTTCTGAATGATTTGAGAGTTCTTCTATTCCATCATTCTAATTGCATTGACAAAAATCGAGGGCGAGTATTTCATACAAGTCCCTCTCCCTTCATAGGTGTAAGCCGATACCTGCAGTGTGCTTTGATTGACACTGGTGAAACTGAGAGGACTAAGAAGTCAGAAGCCTCCTGTTTTAGGAAATCATTTTGAATACATAACAGCTGATTGAATACATAACTCCATTAGTTGGTTCTAAGAGAGGCTGGAGAGGTGTGGTTTATAAGCACTTGCTGCTCTTGCAGAAGACCAGAGTTTGGTTACCATCACCTACTTGATGGCTCATAACTCACTGAAACTCCAGCTCCAGGGCATCCAACTGTAGATCCACCAGATCTGATGCCCTCTTCTGTCCTTCAAGGGCATCAGCATGCATGTGCATACATAAACATATACACAAATAAGTAAAGCTTAAAAGAAGAAAATAAAAACATCACTGAGAGCCCTGCTGCTTGCCATTAAAGGCAAACATACTTGGGACAAGTGATCCATGTTTCTTGTAGAACCTGCCTCAAATAACAGAAAGCATCCAAAGACAAAATGAAGAATGTCATTTCCTCATTCTCAGACTCTTTAGACAGAGGATAATAAATAATTATGCTCATTACATTATATGACAGCCTTTATGCCTTTATTGAGGGTTTTCCAGGAGGATCAAAAGTGGCTGCTTTGGGTGTTTGTGTCCTTTGGAAATAGCTAAACAAAGTCACTTCGAAGAAAGAATTCTGAAAAGCCTGATTTCTAACACAGTCTGTGTTCTAAAGTAGAATTGGCAGAAGGAATTATTTTAGGACCTGAACAAACTAGGAATGAAATAAACCTAATTCCTTGTTTTGCTAACTTCTCCTTTGGCCATTCTGATTAGGCTCAAAGGCAAAGTTGTTGATTCAGTAATAGCATGACATCACACACACACCCTTACAGAGGTTTTTTTTTTTTTTTTTGTCACACACTCCCTTACAGACATTAAAAAAGAAAAAACACTCAAATAACTCTAAGCCCAGAGACTTGGGCAGGCAAAAGTATCCTTCTTGACCTTAATAATGTTTTTGGTTTATTTTTATTCCAATTACTTGCATTTAAAGCAAGTTATTTTTATTTCAAACTCAGGGAAGTGAACTAATATTTCTTTATATTTCTGAAACATTTTATTGTTAAAATGTCATCCCTTTGATTCAACAGACCTAAAATTCATCTATAAGAACATTCACCTACAACCCTGAAATACACCCACTTGTCAATTGCATAGAAAACATTTCCTAGGATACATACAGCCTCTATGAGGTTATATTAACAAACCCAATAAATTGTGAAGATTGAAACGTATGCTTACACACTTCATCATCATAAAATGCAATTAGAAATCAACAACAGAAGGAATCGTGAGATATTCACAAGTATGAGAAATTAGTCCACCCTAAAACAGTCAGTAGGACAAAAATAAAAGGCAAAGGAAATTGAAAACAATTGCAGATGACAGAGAAAGAAAAATCAGCAAACCACTGTCTTCACAGGCAGGATCTACAGATGCACTTTGAGGGAAGCATGTAAAGGAGGTGGGCAGGGAGGAAAGTTTCAGATAGATACCTTAGGAACTGCAGAAGTAAGACAAATCTAATCCAAAGCAAAGAGAAGAAACAGCAGGACTCAAATCAGGGATGAGTGCAACAGAGACTATAACAACTGTCGAGCAAACAGAAAAAGCTGGATTTGGTTTTATGAAGAGGTGAGAAGGAGAAAAACCCTGCGATTTAGTTAGAGTAACCAGAAAGAAAGAGGAGAGGAAGCTTCTCTCTTTACAGAAACTACAGGAATGAGCTCACATTTCTGGGTTCTGTGTAAATTGTCTTTTATACAAACTGCCTTGCTGCTTGTATGATCAAGATGGTTCCATTTTCTTCATTCAAAGAGAATGAAGAGAATGTTTAATGGGGCAGCAACCAGAGCATGGTTACTGAAGCCTGGAGCCTGGAGAAAGAGTGGTCAGGAGAGTAGGGGAGTGTGCTAAGCAGAGGGGCGTGGCTGACTTTGACCTATGACTGGTGGAGAGAGGGGGCTGACCAATGGCAGCACCATAGCTCAAGAGCCAAGAGCAGAAGGGACCTCAAACTGTCTCTCTTTTCCTGGTCTCCTGTTGCTAATGTGTATTACCCAAATCCAGCCAGAAGCCAGGATGCCACACAGATACCCCAAAGAGACCAGCCCCCGGGGCAGCAAGGACCATATTACCTGATCACACCAATAAATGCTCAATGATGAAGTCACATCCTGAGATGTGGTTTTCCATGATTTTGTCCTTGTACCAACACCACAGAGAATATTTACATAAACAAGGTATATGTTTGTGCTGTGGCCTTAATGCAGTTAGGAGATGATAAACATGAAACGCATGTGGGTACCACTGGTATAACACAGCATCCTGTTTTGCAGTATAAGATGGAGTACAGGCTAAAAGAATGAAAAACAGCCTAGTATCATAAATAGATAAATCAGTAGCATAGCTGTTTGTTCCTGTGTGTAATGATGATTTTTAGGGGAACTTCATACTATGCACAGTCATGAAACACATCCCTGTACCTCTAAGGATAGAATAGCATGTGTGTTCGTGAGTGTGAGAATATGTATGTGTGTGCATACATGTGTGTATGATAGTGTGCATGTATGTATCAGTGCATTGTGTAAGAGAGGGTTGTGAGTCAGTGTTGTGTGAGTGTGTGAAAGTCTGTGAGAGTCTGTGTGTGTGTGTATGTACGAGTGTGTGTGTGTGTGTGTGTGTGTGTGTGTGTGTGTGTATTTGTGACTTGGAATTCTGCTATTCAAATAGAAATGAAAGAAGAAGCACATACCTCTCCTGTCTTCCTCTTGGAAGAGAAAGAGACATTTCCTTCTTGACAGGTTAAGATTCTAAAGAGAAAATAATCCTGTTAGATGCTGCTCATTTGCCCCTCCCTGACTCCAAGAGGACCCTTTCTGTGCTCAAATCTCACAGTATGCAAATTAAAAAGGCGATTAAGGGCCTCTTGTCTCAAGTGAGTCTCTAAGGAAACCTAGGAGAGAAGGATGTAGTGAGTGCTCTGGATGTATATATAGATATATAGATAGATATAGTATTACTCTAACTCGAATTCATATATATTCAATATACATTTAAAAATTATCAAGCTTTATGCTAATAACTATATTTTACAATATGTAAATTATACCTCCATAGAGTACTTTTATCTATTCATCCATGGGTTCACAGTGCTAGCAGTCAGACTTGCACATACTAAGTGAGTACTCTACCAGAAAACTGAACAAAATGACTTTAAAATAACTGATTAGAATCATGAAGTCATATTCAAGTAGAAATTCCCCGACTGATTTAGAGCTAAACCACAAAGCATGATTGTAACAGGTCTTGTGTTTATATTTCAAGTAAATACAAGCCTGTTACAAAAGCCCAAGTTCATCTATCTTCCCATGGTAAAATTACAGTCTTTGTGATATTTGCTAAACCTTAGTAATCTTGAATTTCTTTCTATTTGTCTTCTTAAAATCTAGAATGGCCAGTTGGAGTGTGTACGCTGGATGGTGAGTGAGACAGAGGCCATTGCAGAATTGAGTTGTTCCAAGGATTTCCCAAGCCTTATTCATTACGCAGGTTGCTATGGGCAGGTATGAAGTCTTGAGTATCTCCCCTTACATGTCTACATATTTGTTCTTATTGGATCATCAAAATTTAAACATGACATCATAAATAAACCCCAAGATTTTTATGAACAATGGTATTTATTGTAACGTTTAAATGAAAAGACGTTTTAAGCAGCCTAGATATCTCAAGGCAAGATTTTAGATGAATAGTAGAATTATATGGGGAAGTGTTAATTACATAATGTTAATAATATGTATGATATAAAACTTTCACTGTAATTTAGTACCAAAACTTTAAATTTTGTGGAGAAAGAAACAAAGTGAGACTAGAAAAAAAAATGCAGCCTAATGTAGTTCCAGTCATTTTTGAGCAGAATGGAACTACAAATGGCTTTTTAAAATGTTTTTGTTTGTTTGTTTGTTTGTTTGTTTGGTAATTTTCTATTTTTAAAATGAATATTTTTAACATTTATCAAAAAGAAGGCTAATAATAATTTATTGACCACAAAGACAAAATCCAAGTCTTTATAAAGCATCAACCAAGAATAATTCACTTGAACAATGATGAGCAGGTGTATTAACTAGAAGACCCATAGAGTTAACTTCTCCATCAGGACCTGGGAGACGCTCCATGAACACTGCAAAAGCTTGATGACCTGGTTCAGTCCACAGAGCCCATGGTTATGTGGACGGAGAGGGCTGTATCCACAAAGTTGTCTTCTAGTCCACAAGTGCATGCACACACATACTGATAATAAACTCAAAAAATTAATTCCAAACCAGAAAAATCTCTACATTATTAGCTGATGCATACAGATCTCATCTCTACCTCCCATTGAGCATGATGCTTACAAATTATCTTTTAAAGATGCTGAAACCACAAAATGACTATCTCAAGCTTAAAAGGAATAAGGCAGTCAGTATAGTATCAAAATAGATTTAATCAAATTTGTGGAGGAGAAAACTGCTTCTTGTGTATCTTTGGCTTCATAGATTTTCCCAGGGGCAGTAAATTGTGGTGCTGCCAATAAGAGACTGTGCTCATTTCTTCACATGCCAATCACGTTTTTCAAAAGGCTAGAGAATATTCCCATAGTCTTTCTTCCCTTTTTATGCTCTTGTTTGCTTTTAAGATAAGGTCTAGCTATGCAGTTTGGACTGTCCTGAACTCACTGCAGGCAGGACTCAGTGATCTTCCTGTCTCTACCTCCTAAGTGCTGGGATTAGAAGTGTATGCCATCCTGCCTGGGTTGGCCTTCCTTTAGTAGTAATCATACTAGCTGAAATTTTATTCTGCACCAAAGCAACTTTAATTGATATAATACATATATAAACTAAGATAAATAAAAATGATAAAAACACATGTATTGATGCACACATTTCCTTTGTGTGTCAAGCTCCATGCCACTGGATTTTATGTATCTTTGAGATCTTGTTTATTCTATAGAAACTGAAGAAGGAAAGTTAAGTAAATGACTTATACATTGTCTTGTGGCTATCAAAAGAACAAAGACTGGATTTCCACTCAGGTCTTGTGTCTTCGGGAGCTGAGTTGCTTTGTCCCTATCTGTACAGATGGTTTATACAGATTATCATAATGTCATTGATGGAAGATGACTTTCTATTATTTTACTTAACAATACCTTCTGGTAGTTGGAGTATCTCACAAAGGCCATTGAAGTGAGAAACAGTATAAATGCATGGAATTTAAAGGGGGGGTAGGAAAAACATTAAAAGTTTGAATAAGTCACTGTCTTTAAAATATTAGAATTACATCTTTGTTTTGCATTTTGCTTCCCAGTCCAACCCTCTGTCATAAAAATAACCAATGACAATTACTACACATTTGCTAAGAATGTGTTACTATTGTACTTTTACTGGAAAAGAGAATAGAGGGTTTTCAAATTTTCTCAAATATATGACCACTGCTAATCTCCGTAAGTCATTTTGGGTATTGAGCAAATTTATTAAACTACATGTTCGATGTCTTTACATTTCTAATTTCCTTTGCTCATTCAAAGCCTAATTGGGCCTTTGGGGTATTTGTGGAAAGGTTGCTGCACTGACTCCGGGGAGGAAAAAGGGAAGAGGGGCTAGCAGGCCTGTGCTGAGGCTCTGGGCAAAGCAATGGGTGTCAGCATTCTTCAAGGAAATGTCAGTTAGATGCCAGTTTCTTTATTCATGTCTCACAGCATGTTTCTCAGAATTCTTAAGCTGTTGGAACAGAACAAAAGGAAGTACCCCTTGTGGGACAGCTATGTGAGCTGCTGCTTTCTGAGCTGAAATCTAGGAAAACACAGACTCTGGTGACCTATCTGAAGAGACTTGTCAAACATTAGCTTCCCGCTGGCTATTCTTCCAGAGGTTGTTCTAGGATGAGATGCATTTCTATGACATAAGATGCAGATTTGAAGGATGCTGTCCAATAGTCCCCTCCAGAGAACAGTCTGCTCCCATTCGATCCGCCAATTCTGTCCAGTGTCATCCTCCATTTACCACAGCCACTTTATGTTTCAGACAACCTGCAGGGCGACTGAACTTGGAAACATTACAAGGCTAATATTTCCACAAGGAAGACTGTTACTGAGCAGTTTTCTAATGGATTCAGCACATGCAAGTCTTTCTCTGCCAGGCAGGCACTAGAGTGCATTCTGAGTTTTGTCCTCAGTAAACACCTTTGGAAAGGATTGGACTGACCAAAGAAAATTGCTCTCTGCTTCCTCTGCTTGCACTCTACCCTCCTACAGATCCATAAAGAACAGGCTCCACTTGCAGAACAGGCTCCACTTGACTCCCAATTTGTGTTCTTTTTCTTGTAAATAAATAAATAAATAAATAACTTAAAGACTCCAGTACCATAGGGTAGTCTGCAGTTTTAGTGGACTCCTGGAGTGAGAGATCTTTGGATGATAGGAATTGATTTTCTTCATGCTGACACTTGAAGTCTCAGAGGGTACAATTATTTTACTGCCTGGCTGTACCTTGCAGAACTAGCTACAGGGAGCATGAAGGTGAGAGCCTTGTGGGGACCAGAGGAGCAGGCCTGGGGTGTCCTTGCATAGGCCTGCTCTGCCTCCTCAACAGGAAATCTGCTGGCCAAACAATCGCAACAGAACTATCATCTGTGTGGCTTGAACATTTTATTTAAATACGAAGATTCAGGCTATACCCAGGCTCTCCCAAGTTCTATTCTGCCTACATCTACTGTGGGAAGTGTCACCCTATCTTGCCTTGATAGTTGGCTAGGGGTTTGTGTGATGTACCACATTGAAGTTGTGATTCCTTTGGTTTTTGAGTCTTTCATGGAACATTTAGTCTGTGTCTACTCATTTTAAATTTTGGTCATGTGAAGGTTTGGGATTTTTTTTTTTTTTTGAAGATTCTTTTTGAAGCTAGAACAGACTCATAATTTCCTGTGAATGGTCATTGGCAGTGAAGGGCATGATGATGAGGGGGGATGTTTTTTTACATGCTCTGTTGTTCTGTGACTCACTTTAATCAGAGAAGAGCTCTTTGCTGGACTTTGTTTCGTTGACTATTGTTTCAGAATCATGGGACAGAAAGAAGTAAACAATCTGAAAGTGCTATTGTTTATGAAAGTAAAGTAGAAAAATCTATTTGCGTTTTGTTTATGTTCTGCTTTGCTTTTGTCCTCTGATAGAGTGTTGCTAGGTAGCATAGGCTAACAGAGAACTTGGGATCCTCCCATTTTAGCCTCCCCAAACCTGGGCTTACAGATGTGCTTTCTACTACGAGGGCAGAAAAACCTGATTAGCACAAACATCTTGAAAAGGCAACAAACCCAGAGCTCCACAGCCTGCAGACTGACAGTTAACCAGAATTTATTCTAAGCCTAAGAAACAGTGCTGTTGGAGAACAGTGTGGTTGTGGACATTTGAGCCCAGAAGATGGAAAGCATCACAAAGAGGGCTGAGCCCTAGTGCCAGGTGTCTGGGGCTTTATCCTACTAAGTCCCAGCTTGGTGGCTTTGCTTTCATGCATGCCTGTAGAAAAGTGAAGAAAAGGGGAATTCAAAACAGAAAAGAGAAAAGAGTGTGCCTGTGCCTTTGTGTCCTTATGTGTATGACATGACAAAAGAACTTTCCTCTTGGTTGTTCTGAAGACTTAATGAGGACAAGTACACTGCCCAGCCCAATGTACGTACTAGACAAATGTTGTCTGCTATGGCAAATCTTTCAATTGGTTGATTTTATAGCTCTCTGTGTAGTTTATCTACTTACCTTACTTTAAGTAAAGCACAAGACAAACTTACCAAGGAATTATTTCATCATTGATATACTTCACTGTTACATGCATCTCCTATCCCCCCCACACACATTTTGACATCCCATATCCCACATTTACCTTACAATAAATGATGTAACAGTATTGATGACCACTTTTTTGTTTTTCATTTTAACATCTTGGTAAATGGAATGAATCTCTAAATTGATGTTTTAGTAAGTTTGCAGACAAAGCTGACTCCTTCTGATTGTATCACAAACTACAGATATTTTATTGATACCAGCAATAAAGCTGTGACATATATTTCAATGAAACTTTTATTAGACTTTGTTCAGCAAATCTTATAAATTGCATGTATTAATTGCCTCTTTAAAGAGCTTGTATTGCCTTTGGGAACACTTAAGTTGCAATGCTGAAACAGATTATCCAAAGGCCAGAAAATCCTCAGAAGAGGAAAGCAGTATATGAGAGAAGTCTGGGTCCATAGATATAAGCTGAATAGATACATGGATGTGTGAGTGGACTGATGAATGGGTGGACAGACTTTGTATTGGAGAGCAATTCTTCAAAATACAAAAAGTAGAAACAAGCTTCTCTACCTACATGACTGTTCAGAATGTTCTCTGAAAGCAACATTTACCAAAAATGGATATCTGACATTGCATTCCTCCTTCAATATTTTCTCCTGCAATAGAGAGGAAGAACTACACACACACACACACACACACACACACACACACACACACACACACATGCATGTGCTCACAGATGGGAGGGAGAGAGAATCTGAATGCATTAAAGGGCTAGGAGGGAAGGAAAACATCATTAAATATGTATCTAATGCATATTTGTATCAATGAGGGCCTTAGCTGGATAAGTGGTCATTTTCTCCTGCTTATGTTTTAATGAACATGTCGAATAAGTCACCATCTCACTCTAGAACTCTGCATCTCTGTGTACCTCAGAATCAGAGCTAAATTTCTCTGATAATGAGTGTTAAAGGTCTTATGTGAAAATAGGGGAAACTAGCCATTTATCTTGAAATCCTAAATGCATGTAATCAGAAGACCACTTATGCTATCCCATTGAGAAGTATCCATCCAAATGGTACAACAGGAAAGATTTTATTTCTTTACAAGATATAAGTATGCCAATTGCATTTTCTTCTTAAATATATATATGCAATGATTGATATATATATATATATATATATATATATATATATATATATATATATATATGTTTTGTTTCTATTGACCTTTATCAATTAGGTTTCATTAAGGTGCCTTTTTCAAACAAAATTTATTTTTGTTACTTCTTTTCCTACCTCTTCTCCCCCACACCCTATCCTTCCCTTGAGCCAATTTACCCCAGCATCCTCCTTTCTACTCTGTGTCATAAGTGACCTTTTGACCTTCTGACTCCCTCCCCTTCCTTTCCTCAACACTTCTCATTCCATTCTCATGGTCTTTTATCTAGTTTCATATGAAAGAGCTATACTACAAAAAGTATAAAACGGAATTTGAGGTGCCAGCAAAACACTATTCCGAGTCAGTAAAACTGTTTCTGCCCTGTGTGGATCTTAGGTAAGGTCTCCTACAGACAGTACAAGAAAAGATGGGTAGTTATTGTAACAGTTCATTTGGTACTCGCTGAGTACTCTGGAGCCAGGGCAACTTTCTTTTCTCGCAGAGCCCTCATGTATTTTGTCCTCCCAGACTACCTGCCCCTTGCCAAGGGCCCTCAATTTTTCTCCACATTTCCACATTTCTAGGATAATTCTTAGACTGAGAAAGAAATGTAGTATTCTGTTACTGATAACCCCATTTCTAAAAGTCAAAACACAATGTTTTTTAGTAAAGTGTGTGTCTGTACAGTTGGAATAGGCACACCCACTAGAACATTCAGTTTGGTCTGAAAAAAAAATGAAAATTTGCATGACAAGACATTAGCTTTACTTGCTAAAGGAAGCTGGTAGAAACAAGACAGCATTCCTCTGTCCTGGGCTAGTTTTATGTCAACTTGATACAAGCTAAAGTCATCTGGGAGGAGGAAACCTCAGTTGAGAAAATGCCTCCATAAGATCCAGCTGTAGGGCATTTTCTTAATTGGTGATTCATGGGGAGGGCCCAGCCTATTGTGGATGAGGCCATCCCTGGGATGGTGGTCCTGGATTCTATAAGAAAACAGCCTGAGCAAGCCATGAAGAGCAAGCCATTAAGCAGCACTCCTGCATGGCCTCTGTATCAGCTACTGTCCTGGGTTCCTGCCCTGACTTCCTCAGTAATTAACTATGATATGGAAGTGTAAGCCAAATAAACCCTTTCTTCCCCAACTTGCTTTTGGTCAGTCAGCTTCATTAGCGATAGTAACTCTAAGACAATTGAGTTTTCTGATTTTTAAATAAAGTTGAGTTGGATGATTTCCTCCAAAATCTCTTCTAATATAGTTTTTTAAATCCATGGTTTATTATCATGAAATAAACCACATTGTCCCAAGCTTGAAAGTGACCTATTGAAGAGGTTCTGTTCTGTGTTTGGTGGGGCTGTCTTTCTCATCTGTAGAGACACTGCAGCCTTCTCTCCTGGAGTTGTCTTAAGTCTTAGCCTTTGGCTGCATGGCAGTTGGTAATATGTTAATCTTGATACTACTCATTGAAACTTTGCTTTTGTTTTTGTTGTTGCTTTTGGCTTCTTATTTCTATTTTGATTTTGGAGACATTGTAGAACTTGCTATATAAAACAGGTTGGCCTTAAACTCATATACACCTGCCCCTGCCTCCCAAGCCCCAATCCATTGAGAATTTTTAAAGATTTATTTTGTGTATGTGTGTGAGGGGATATGCCCATGTGACCTCAGATGCCCAGGTAAAGAAGAAGGTTTCATATCTCCTGGAGGTAGAGATTTGGCTCCTTCTGAGCCATTCATTGTGGGTGCTGGGGACTGAGCTTGGGTCTGCAAAAGCTATAGTTACCATGAGCCATCTCTCTAGTCCCCTCCTTGAAATTTTAAAAGAACTAAGCTGCATAACACAATCATCTTTTTTCCAAGTAAAAAAAAGTCCAGTGCCCCTAGTTAACTAGGAAATGTAAACTAGCCATTTTATTGTTAAGAGCACATGAAAACATTACCCATTCTGGTCCCAACATCAGCTCCAATTTTTTGTAAGTTGGTCTTTGAAGAAGAGAGTTAAGCCTATCTAGACTTCCTTCTCCAATTTCTAATTCTCAACCCGAGTCTTTATGCTCAGCCTCACCTCCTTTTTCTGGGGACCTTTGACTCTCTACAAGGTCCATCTCCATCTGCAGCTAGCATTCATCCTGCTCTCCCGGGTGCATTCTTAGTCTGATGTAGGAATCAGTTCCATTTTCTTTATTTTGCTTTTGAGGGTTCTTACTCTAGCTTGTTCGTTTGGACAGAGTGTGGCACAAATATTCTGCCTGTCCCCGTGTGTCAGATACCTTTGTAAACAGTCCGCTATTCAAAAGCAGAGAGGAAAACATTAAAGGAGTTAGCTGTTTGGATCCAACATTCCTTTAGCAGATTATCTGGCATGTTCAGAAGAAGAAAGCAAATTTAATCCAAAAAAAGTTCATGGCCAGTCTGAACAAATAACCAGAGGGGACAAAACCCTTTAAAAGGTTAAGAAGAAAGAAGTTCAAGACTATTTCAAACACATGATCGTCTTCTTAAATGTCACATTCCACCCACTAAGCTTCACGCTGTTGTTTTTACCACTCTCGTTTTTTTAACTTTATATTTAATTCTTCTATTTTAAAACAGTGAAATCCCATCTCCTTGCTTTCTCCAAAAGCCATGGCATGAAAATACCACAAAACATTCATTGGGTAAACTGCAAACAGATTATGATGAAACATTTTCATGGCTCACTATTCTCTCTCTCTCTCTCTCTCTCTCTCTCTCTCTCTCTCTCTCTCTCTCTCTCTCTCTCTCTGGCTTTGCTTTGGAAAGACTTGGTCTCTTTGCCTTTGGTCCATTTCCTTTAACATGAAGAAAATAATGATAATAATTTTTAAAATACTACCAGCATTTGGTCAGAAACAAAGACAAGGAGTCCCTGATCTGTCTCAGCAAGGTTATCTTGGACTTGACAGTTCAGTCTGTGGACTGCAGGGTGTTCAGAATTAGGAGGCCATGGTTTAAGAACATAAATGTAAAAGTAAATCGAGTTGTGTCAGTAGCCTAAGGTTTTGGGATAATCAGCTTGAAGCTTACAGAATTGAAAGTGTAGCCTTAAGAGACTTAAAATCAAAAGATGTGCCCTGGGTTCCAACTTCAGATCTGTGTAGTTGTTTGACTATGAGGACAGAGACTCTCTGTGAAACTTTTACCCCTTTCTGTAGCATAATTAACAAGAACATTTCCAAGGAAACTTCCCACCTCCAAATCCTCCTAAGTGATCCTCTTTTGTGTTACAGTCAGACCCACAGCTTTTTGGTGTATACTGAATGGGAATCTTCTTTTGATAGGATAAGCAATATTTGAAGTTACATACCACTAGTGAGTTATAATGCCGTTTCTTTATATTCAACTTCTCTGCATGATAGTCTGCTAATTCCAAGTGCTCTCGTGTGTGTGTGTGTGTAGGAGAAGATTCTCCTGTGGCTCCTTCAGTTTATGCAAGAACAAGGCATTTCACTGGATGAAGTGGACCAGGAAGGCAACAGCGCTGTTCATGTCGCTTCACAGCATGGCTACCTTGGATGCATACAGGTACACTGCTTACTGCTTCACAGCTGGGAAGGGGTATCTTGAGATATAAAACAGGAGCAGTGGAGGTAAGGAAGGGAGGGAGGAAGGGAGGAAGGGAGGGAGAGAGGGAAAGAAGGAGGGAGGAAGGAAAGAAAAAATTTTGTTCATTAGAAAAATGCCTGCACTAAATCAGCTTCTGTACTATATGGTAGGAGTAACAAGCTGGACAGTAGGAGCCCTGTGGTTTCCTTTCTTTGTGGTAGGATTAAACTTCACAAATGCATTCAAAAGACCCAGAGGCAAAGGGTATAGGTAATTGATCCCCTTGGGCCTTCAGCAGGTTAGGCTCAGCCTTGATTGGCCTAGGTTTCACCCAACTGCCTCAAGTAGCCTCACAGTTGTTACCCAACATGTCTTGCAAACAATCTCATGTTCTCTGTGCACAAGATAGTTTAAGATTATTAAGCAAAGCCAAAGGAGAAGGGAGAGGATTGTGGTCACTGACCCAAGTCACAAGGTGATCGCTCTGAGGGTAAAGGTCTTTATGGGAAGTGAAGACTATGTCCGACTCAGAGAACACTGAGCAATGAGAGCTGCCGCTCCAAAAATCACATAAGAATGTATGCCAAAACCGTGAGTATGAAAGTTAAGAGGACAATAAAAGCAAAAATGCAGAGAATACCAGGAAGCTCTCTAGAGGATCTGAGCTCACACATCTGCTCTTTAGAGAGCTCACTTGAGAGGAAACATTCGGCATATCTGAATGAGTCTCACCAGGGTTGGCAATTGTGTGTCTCCTGACTTAGGACACCAACCCAGAAAGGGGTGATGAGTAAGAAAATGTAGCATGGAGATAAAGCCAAATTTCTTACCAAAATATAAAAAATGGTTAAAAAGAACAGTGCTGTCTTTCTATGGAAGAAAGACAACTGGATGAAAATTTAAAAAGAGAGAATATTTTTCATTAGATGAAATAATGCTTAATAATCCTGAAGCAGACATTTCATAAGCTAATAAGTGACTGATGCCTGAAGAAACCTAGGTGATGTTACTATTTCTATTTACATTTTAGATATTTTCCCTTTAATATGTGGAGAGTAGTCCTCCCAAGGCATTTGTCACTCCGCGTCACACAAATGATGTTTTTGGCACTGGACACTATGGAAACTTGGAAAACTACCCACTGTGTGTGAGATTAAAAAAAAAAATAACAGTGAGGGACGAGAGCAAGTAGGGGCCTTATGAGTTGAGAAAGGGACTGGGGGAGGGGACAGAGGGCAAACTGCAGGGGTCTGAGTCAAGGGCAGGAAGAACAGTGTGTGTTTCCACTGAGTCTCTCGGAGCTTCTTGCTGACAGGGTCTCTGTGACACCCAGAGAGAGAGGAGGAAGTGGTTTTATGGAAAGCTGACCTTTCATGGTGAGCAATCATAAACTAAGAGGGGAGTTTGTTAATGACCTGTGAGTCTAACAGGCTATGATATTAAACACAAGCACTGATTGTGTGTGTGTTGGGGGGGGGGGTATTACTACCAATATAGGATGAAGTTTTCAGTATCATTGTGTCATCAAAGAATATGTCAGGGAGCAGCAAGTTATTAATATGCATGTCACAGCTTCCTTCCAGACTCTAACAACATCACAGCATTAATATGAAACCCTTCTCATGCTTTTAGGGCATTGATTTCAGCCATGCTCTGTCAAGTCTCCCCCTCCTCTATTCGTGATACTCTGGCCAAATGCCATAACTTCCCCACTTGCTTTTTCCTATTAAATTTTACTCCAAAACAGTTTTAAATCTCAAAATTCAAACATTGCCATTCTTCTCCACACCCAGAGAAAAGATGAGAGACTCACAGTGAGGCATGGTTGGCCTTTTACACACCTTGTGGGATCCTACCCACCCCCACTCCAGCTGCACTGTCAAAAACAAATAAAATGTATAAAGAAAGAAATGCAAATATCCTCTTACTCAGCTGGGAAAGGCCATGGTCCCCTTGGAAGTCATTGCTTTGTCACCTCTTCATCTGGCTCTGCTCTGTGTTGTGTTCTATGGTAACCTCCAGGTAAAGATGCTTTCAGGGATGCTCTGGAGTATCTACATTGGTACTTAACATGAGAGATCTGGCTTCAGCTTTGCCTCCTTTACCCTATTCACATCCTTTCCGATATACAGTCTCTTTCCTGTTACTTTATTCTGGACCAAGAACTTAGCGAGTGGCATCCCAAAGCCAGTTACCCAAGAGAATAAGAACAAGCAGACAATTCCACTCTCTACATCCTACAGCACCTCTAACTTTAAGAATGCTTTCTTTTGAACCCCCAACTATCAAAATGACAAAAACCACAACCATTGCACTGCCCATCTCATAAAGGGGATGGAGGTGTTGGTGGACCTCCCCCTGTAGACTACATGTGAGAAAGAAAGTAGTGATACCAGTTTGGTTCTGGTTGGCTCCACAGGGAAGCCTCTAACATCAACTAGCAAGATCACTCACAACACTTTTCTCTGAACTGGTGTATCCCACCCAACACCATGGATTCTGATAAATGGCTTTGGAATAATGAGATAAATTCTACCCAGCATTCTGCTATAGTCTTTAAAGAAAAGAAAAAAAGAAAAAAAAACAATGTTTGGAAGGAAGTCCTGGGGCTAGAGAGATGGTTCAGCCAGTAAGAATACTTGCTGTTCTTCCAGAGGTCCCCAAGTTTGATTCCCAGTACCTACACAACCAACTCACAACCATCTACACATAACTTCAGCTCTAAAAAAGTTGATGCTTCCTTCTGACATACACACACACACACACACACACACACACACACACACACACACACCGTTTAATAAAAAGAAAGTCCTGATACAATGACATTACATGTTTCTGTATTTTCTGGCAGACTCTGGTGGAGTATGGAGCAAATGTCACTATGCAGAACCATGCTGGGGAAAAGCCCTCCCAGAGTGCTGAACGGCATGGGCACACCCTGTGCTCGAGGTACCTAGTGGTAGTGGAGACCTGCATGTCACTGGCCTCGCAAGTGGTGAAGTTGACCAAGCAGCTAAAGGAGTAAGTGGCCACTTGATTCTTAAAGAACAAAGTCTGACTGTATTTGTGCTTAGATTTCAGCTAAGTGCTTTGGAGAGCTCCCTTCATTCTAGTTACAAAGAGAGTTTGGGCATTCTCATCTTGTCTTCCTCCATCCTACTATGCTCACAGCCTGTGTTCATGCTTAATATACCAGGTCTGAAGAAGCAAATGGTATTAAGCTGTGGAGCGCCGAGCAAGCTCACCAAACGGGATTCCAGTCATTGTGGGGAGGGAGCATTGGCCTTCGTTCCTACCACTTCAGGGACATATCATAGCAAGGCTTGAACAGCACACTAACATCCTCACCATGTAGGAAATCACGAAGAGTGTGGGAGAGGGAAAGCTAGAAATGGCTCTGCTTTCAGTTTTCTCATTAAGGAAAGTGTGTCTTTGGGAAACAACAGACCTAAGTGTCTTAAAACCCAGCAGCAGAAAATTTCTTGGGAAAAATGAAGCTGAGTTATAATTAGCTTTCAGAATATAAACGTCACTTCTTAAAGTCAGTCCTTTGCTTGATGGATTACTAGACTGGGATACATTGCCTATCAGGTGTCAGAGAAGCATTTCTGGAAGGTGACTACAACTTAACTTCTTGAAAAAGATGGGCTGGGATACAGATACATCAGGTAGGAGTCAAGAAAGACAGAGTTACTGTTAGGAACCAACCTCAGTCCTTAGAAATCTTACAGATCACACAAGAGCTGCCATATTGAGGGAAATTTCATGGTAATTAGAATCAGGATTCCAAAAAGTTTGACAGATTAGAAAGACAAAGACAAAAACCATTAAGCATTAAACTAAATTTTAGAAAAAAAAACATAAAATCTTATTTTTATAATATATGCATATTTATATACATTTATAATATATTTACAATATAGTCCAGTATAATATAGTGAGTGATGAATCTACTCTAGTTTTTAGAAATTATTTTTATGTTATGTGCATGAATGTTTTGCCCGTCTGTTTGTCTGTGCACTATGTGTGTGCCTGTTGCCCAGAGACCAGAATATGGTATCATCAGATCTCCTGGAACTAGAATTGCAAACAGTTGTGAGTGCTGGAAACCAACCAGGGTCCTCTGGAAGAACAGCCAGTGCTTTTAGCCACGGAGCCATCTCTCCAGCCTTCTACCAGAGTTTAGTAAGAAAAACAAATGTATCCTATTTACAACTTACTTGGATGACAAAATGGCCAGGATGGATAAGAGACCTTAATTGGTTGCTGATATGGGTCATACAGAATAATGATGCCTTGGACCCCCTGTGCCTTCCCTGAGCTCAGGCAACCTCTTATCTCTCCACACGCCCTCTTTTGCCTCAGGATGCAAGCCTCTAATGTCCTTCATGTTGCTAGCACGTAAAGTAATCTGAGTTTAAAGCCTAAAGTATAAAAGATTTCCTCCAAGAATCCTCTGTCAGTTAAACAAAACTTCTCCATGACAGGTGAGCCTGGGCAGACTTCAAGATCTCACTGTAGCTGAAGGAAGAATGTATATTAGTTAACAACTCAATAACTCACTAGGTTATTTTTCCACAATGAACAGACTCTTACATAAGTCTTTATATATTTCCAGAGCTTTCTGAATAAAAGAGTAATTAGAATAAGATGTGTGCACTTTGAAAGTAGAGGGGCTGGGGTTATAACTCAGTAGTACAGCACTTGCCTGACACGCAGAGACCCTGGGTTCAATCCTAAAATCTTGGGGGTGTAAGGAAATTGTTACTCAAATGTCTTCCCACAAATGCTGTAGCATAATCCACTCCCTCTAGTGATGAATGGATGTACTCAGAACTTTAGAACCATCCCAAGAATATTTCTCCTAAAATTTCACACCCAGAAAATAGATTTTTTTTCAAACTCAGCTTTTATGCCATGGACTCTGAAACTTTTTATGAGTTGCATAGCTATTTTTCTGTTGGTGAACTTTGCAAATTCCAGGTCCTGGCTACTCTCTCTGTGAGTTACCCTAGAATAAGTGAGCCCTGTATACTGTCAGATGGCAACCAATCAGTTGTCTCAAAATCCAGATGCTGTGGTCAAATAGTGTTAGCCCAGTGACAAGATAAAATACATGAGGTACATAATACACAAAAGGGCACTGGCCTTTTGTGTATTATGTACTTGAGTGAGGTGAGCAAACCCAGAAGTGTAAAGAGAAGTCCCATGAAGCAACTACAGAGCTCCGTACCTTTATGTGTGGGACACTAGTAAACAAGGAAGGGAGGAAGCATTTCCAAAACTTGAAAACACCTGAGATTTCCCCACCATGAGCTCTGGGGACAGATAGCCTTGAGTGCTTCTCCTTCTTAGAATACTGTTACCAGATCCTTTATAGACATTGCTACTGTCTAGAAATGGCAAAACTCAACTCTACTGTATTTGGAATAGAATTCTGTCTCACCAGAAAGGTACTAAACCCTAATATTTCAGCGTAGCCTTAGTTGGAAATCAGATATTCACAGAAGATATCAAGTCACAGTGGGGTCTTAAGGGTGAGTTGAGTCCCTATAAATAATAGAGAGGGCCATACACATAGAGGCTATGTCATATGAACATGAAGGCAGGGTTCACGGGGAAATATCCACAAACCATGGAACCAGAGTTTGCCAGTAAAATCTCAGGCATGGGATAGACACCATCATGGCCCTCGGAAGGGACCAACATGAATGACAACTTTATCTCAGATGACTTAGGCCTCTCAAACTGTAAATTAATAAATTGCTGTTGTCTGGAGCTGGAGAAATGGTGCAATAGTTAAAAGTACATGATGCTCACACAGAAGACCATTCCCAGCATCTACATCATGGGGTTCAAGGGATCTGACACCTCTGATGGTGCATGGCACACATATATGCATGCAAGTGCTCACACAGACGCAAAATAAAAACTAAGAAATCTTTTTAACATTTCCTTTTGTTTAAACCACCAGACTTGTGGTACCCTTACAGCAATCCCAGCACACTGACATGGTACAAAAACACAGTTGTGTCTCCATGATTGAAGCTGACTGAGCCTTTCTGGATGCTTCCTTCAAATCTAGAGACTAAGAGTGCCCTCCATGTTTCTTGTGTTCCAGCTGACAGTCAACGGATGTCAAATGGGATTTTTAAAATTCTGTCATAATTTCTAAAAGACACCAAATTTAAAAGTCAACTGTACAATCTTTCTCTACTGACTTTTGAGTGTGTACCTTTCCCTAGTCCACTAGCTCATTCGTGTTCTCAGGGTGCTTAATGATGTCTGTGTTCCTGTTTGACTTTACACATTTTTTGTTTTATTTATTTTCTGTGTATGGGTGGTTTGTCTGCACATATGTCTATGGACCATGTCTGTGCCTAGTGCCTAAAGGCCACTGGATCCCCTGGAACTGGAGTTATACATGGTTACAAGCCACTATGTGGGGGCTATGATTCAAACCCAGGTCCTCTGGAAGAGTAGTTAGTACTCTTAACTGCTGATCCATCACTCAGTCCCTATTTCTGTCTCTTAAAATACCACACACACACACACACACACACACACACACACACACACACACACACGATATGTATCCCAGCTAGCAAAGTGGGATGTATTTAGTCAGCAAATGGTAAACTGGGCAAAGCCTGCTCACCACCTATTTTTGCAAGTAGTTTGATTGGCACACAGCTGAACTTGTTCATCTGTGTGTTATGCGAGGTTAAAGTTATGCTGCAAGGACAGAGTCGAATATTTGTTCTAAAATTTTAGTGACTTGCAAGCCTAAAGTGTGGGCTATATAGTCCATTAGAGTTTTCTAGGATTTTCTTTGGGAAACTGTGGTTTGTTTTTATTATTGTTGTTAAAGATTTATTTTGGTACTTAATTTATTCATATGTGTGAGAGTCTGCATGCACATCCATGTTTCACGTGTGTTCAGGTCATAATCGAGACCAGAAAAGAGGTATTGGTTCCCCTAACTGAAATTACAAGTTACCAGGGTGGGTGACCCAGGGTGGGTGCTGGGAATCAAACTCAGGTCCCCTAGACAAGCATCAAGTGCTCTTAGCCTCTGAGCCACCTGTCCAGCCCCATGACTAAGTTTGAATCAGTGAGTTTGTCAGAATTGGTGAGATGAAATAATGTTACAGACAGGGCTTGGTTTTGGAGATGAATGATGAGAGATAATGCTAACTGCTTCTAAGAAAAAGATGCTTGGGACTTGTGGAAGATGTTATCAGGCCCTGACTTCACAAAAGTACTTTTAGACAAGCATAGCTGTTGAGTATATGCAGTAGGCCCTGCAAGAATATGAACACCAGGCTTCCTCTAGTGCATACTAAAGATAAGGTAGTCATTGCAAAAACACTTACAAACCCCATTTAGTTTTATACCCTGGCTCATGAGAGCTGCTACCATTTTGATGCTAACCATATAAGTTTCCTATTATTTTTAACAAATTTTCACAAAATTAGTGACAACATAGAACAAGTTTGCCTTACATTTTTATAAGTTAGGATTAATACTGCTTACTGTGTTCAATAAATGCTTCTCAATCCTGTAGAATAAGAGTCAGTTTGCTTTAATCCCAGCATTTGGAAAGCTGAGGCAGAAGATCTATGAGTTCAAGACTGGCCCAGTCTAAATGGTAGCTGAACCATGAGCTTCAAGTTCAATGAGAAACCCTGTCTCAAATACTCAGGTGGAAAGGAAGACATTTAACATCAACTTCTGGTCTCCATGTGCACACACATATGTGCAAACACACACAAAGGAGACTATTACATATAGTGTTTTTTTAAATATTCTTTTTCACTTGAGACTAGTAGAGTATAATATACACATACAAATATTAGAGAAGTTTTTTGTATGTCCATAAATATTCAGTATCAAATAATATTGATTTCATGGTTGTCATTGCAGAAATTAAAATTCCTTCACTCTTACTGATAAGCTATTGATTTCCTCACAGCTTGTCACCATTGTGAACAATAAATGTCTTTTTTAACACCTTGAGAAACTTTCTGAACCACAAAATGAAGACCAAACACTTTTTAAGGCTTTTGAACAGATTGCCATCTACTACCTTCTCATGAAGATCCTTCTCCCTCTAGTTTTGGCAGTGGTCACGCATCAAACATATGTTCTTTGATTGTTTCCTGCAGGCAAACAGTGGAGCGTGTCACATTGCAGAGCCAACTCCAACAACTTTTAGAAGCCCAAAAATCAGAGGGCAAATCACTCCCTTCCTCGCCTAGGTAATACCAGTTGTGTTGGTATTTGAATTGTTGGGTATTTGTATTCTTCAAATCCTCCTCTAGTATTTAATATTTTTCAAGAAAATAACAACAAAAAACAGTCTACCCTTATAATAAATTAAAAGATATCACAATGAAAAGTCTATGTCTGGGGGGTCACAGGACCTGAAGTGATCTCTAGCTTTTCTATTTCTTTATGCCACAATTACAAACAAGTCATGTTCTCCTTTGTTGCTTGACCTGTGAAATGAGAATAAGGACATATAGCTTTATTAGTTTGTTGAAAACAGAAGTGAGGAAATTCATATTAAGTGGTAGGTAAACAATACAACAGACAAATTTTGTATCTATGAAGTTTTGGGTGTGATATACTCTGGCTACAGATAGAATGGATTCTTTGCTAATTAGTCTGAAAAAACATTGAGTAACTCCAATCTTGTTTTCCATAAATTGTTCATTATGATTTAATATGTTAAAGGTCGTGCAAGGACTTATGGCTGCATTTAATGCAGTAGGAAATCATCTCACATTTCCTTCATCTTCCTTTCAGTTCACCCTCCTCACCAGCTTCTAGAAAGTCCCAGTGGAAAATTCTAGATGCAGATGATGAGGCTACAGGCAAGAGCAAACCAGGGGCCCAGGAGGGAATACAAGTTCTTGGAAGCTTATCAGCATCCAGCAGGGCTAGAACCAAAGGAAAAGATGAAGACTCTGATAAAATCCTACGACAGTTATTGGGGAAAGAAATATCAGAGAATGTCTGCACCCAGGAAAAGCTGTCGTTGGAATTCCAAGATGCTCAGGCATCCTCTAGGAATTTGAAAAAGATACCTCTAGAGAAAAGGGAGCTGAAGCTAGCCAGGCTGAGGCAGCTGATGCAGCGATCATTGAGCGAATCTGATACTGACTCAAACAACTCCGAAGACCCCAAAAATACTCCTGTAAGAAAAGCAGACAGGCCCAGGCCACAGCCCATTGTGGAGAGTGTGGAGAATATGGACAGCACAGAAAGCTTACACCTAATGATAAAGAAACACTCTCTGGCATCAGGACGCAGGTTTCCTTTCAGTACGAAGGCCTCCAAATCCCTGGATGGACACAGCCCATCTCCCACTTCAGAGAGCAGTGAACCAGACTTGGACTCCCATTGTCCAGGCTTAGGGATGACTTCTCCAACCCAGCCTTCTGGAGACCCCAGTCAGTCCAGTCCTGACAGCTCCACTGCCCAGAAAATTGCCACCAGCCCCAAGAGTGCCCTCAAGTCTCCATCATCCAAGCGCCGAACATCCCAAAACTCAAAACTCCGAGTTACCTTTGAGGAGCCTGTTGTGCAAGCAGAGCAAACTAGCCTTGAACTAAATGGAGAAAAAGACAGAGATAAGGGCAGGGCCCCCCAGAGGACTAGTGAATCAGGGGAACACATGAAAAGGCCTTTTGGAACCTTCCGATCCATCATGGAGACTTTAAGTGGTAATCAAAACAACAATAATAACTACCAGCCAGCCAACCAGCTGAAGACCTGCACACTGCCCTTAACATCACTTGGAAGGAAGACAGCAGATAACAAGGGAAACCCTGTGAGCCCTGCTAGCAAAGGAAAGAACAAGGCAGTGAGTGCTATTTGCAGACTGTGCTTGTATTACTTTTCATTGATTGTGTTATTGCTAAAGCCCAGGTTACTGACTTGTGCCACCTTCAGAGGGTCACCCCAAATTTCAAAAATCCATATATTTTGTAATGAAATGTTCCAGGTTAAAATATATAGCCTTTCACTTCCTTTAAAGAGAAGTGGGTTAAAAAAATAATAATAATCGTCAATTAAGTCCAATCCCTTTTTCTTGTGCTTAGGGCTTTAGAGATTGTAAGCTAGGAGGCATTTATACAAGATGAAACCACCAGTCAGCATAAAGTCAGCCCTTTGTTGGCACTGATTCGGCCTTGGGAGGAAGAGCTTGTTCTTGTGGACTGGGTACTCCCAGGCCCAGCTTAAAGGCACATAAACAGAAACCCTATTTCTAAACTACTCAACTCAAATGACCTTTGAAATGAATCTCTCCCACCCCCAGGGACTGCCACATGGCATGATACTACACAGACCTCTAAGTGTTGATTAGATACTGGAGAGACTGAAGTGCTTGCCAGTATATAGGAGATGGTAGGATGCACTGTGAAGTCATTTATAACAGCATTTCTTGGAAACCCATCTGTAATTCACATCCCATGAGGAACAGATAGGAACAACATTTTAGACAATGATTTCTGCATGCTCTGTGCTTGCCATGCCACCAAAAACAATATAGCAGCCAAAATGCAAAATCTTCCTGTGGAAGGAATGCCTATTCACTATTGTATTTACTAAACCACCCAGTAGTGTCCAAAGCCTACCATTTTTCTTCGTTGGGTTGTTAAACATAGTCTTAAGAACAGTCTGTATTTCTTACTGTGATACCAAATCCAGTTTTAGTTAATATCTGTTCAGCTGCCTCATCACTGACTTAACTCATCTACCAACTCAGTTGCTATGAAACACTTTACCATGTATTTGTTTCATCTAAAAAGGATACACTCCAGCTAAGATACCAGACTTTTTGCATTAAAAACTTAAAGCCTATTTTTTTTCTAAATAATTTAATAAGAGTCTCAGAATCGGCAATAGCTCTAAAATCATTTCCACAGTTTCCCAAGAACCTTCCCTCTAATGTGTCCTGCATGCCTTGCATTAACCGGGACCTGTGCATGGGATGAGCTTGTTGCATGTCTTCAGATAATTCTTAATTGCACTTCTCTAGGGGATGTACAGCAGCTGTATCCATCTTCCCTCTAATGTGCTGGTTGAAGAGCATCTGCGTGACTATGCACGGTATGTGGCATGCGGTGCACTGTGAGGCACTGTCATGCCTTTGCTTGGCATTGCATGAGCTTTGAAATGATGCATCTGCAACACTTTTAAGCAGGGGATAAACACCAAGGGGGAAGACACTTACAACTCTCTCTCCACCAGAGAGACATGGGTTCAGGTGGCAACTAGGTCCTGAGAAGGTACTGGTAGCCATTGGAGGGGCTTTATCTTAGCGTCAGTCGGGAGAATGTACTCTGTGCACAAACTCACCATGTTTTTCAGTTGACTTTGGACTTCAATATGCATTTTATGGGAGCATGGTGCCAAGTAAGAATAGAAATTAGGTTTAGTCATAGGTAGAGGGAGTCAGCTATCCGACAGAAATCAGAAAAGTTGGAGTGTGAGCTGGGGCTTCAGACTTTCATCATCCTCTCTTAATCTCGGGAGAAGCATGTCTCTGCCTCTGCAGAAGCTTTCTCGCTTAGCACAGTGAACCACTTCCAGTCCAGAAGCCATTCCAATGAAGGTCTACCGATAAAATAAGGGTCTTCTTCCAGCAAAATGTTCATAAGTCCAAATGCATGGACTATGTATGTACAAGAAAGAGGAGCCCGTGGCCAGTGACTGGGACTCTTCCTTGGGCATGTGTTTGCAGACCTGGCAGAAGTGGGTGAAGTGACAGGGAATAGCCTAAGATAATGTGATCAGTGCCTTTTGACTGGCTTATCTGAGAAGTGTTTAACCTCAAAACCCATTTTAAAAGCAAACTGTTGGTTCTAAAACATTTCAATAATTTAAAAACCATGACATGGTATTCAGCATTCCTCCAAAATCCCCCAAAGAATGTGTTTACTATACATACACATTTTAGTTCAAAATACTAAATTTCCAGATTTTTCTCTTTTTTTTTCCCCTCCATAGATCAAATTTAGTCTGTTTATGTCTATGTCCAGTCTGGATAGGAAACAAATATTAGTCATGTTAGGAGATATCATCAGGGGTCTCATTAATTCAGTGCATGGAAGGAACAACCTTAGACTCTTAATGGTCACTAGTGACCAGCTGACACTAGCAGATAGTCTAAATGCAAAGCCAGGACTGCTTCCAGTCATCCTGTGACAGAGGTCCCTGTTCAGTGCCAGTGTTAGAGATGGGAAAGCTCTTTGTCCTTCCGAACATTGGCACTATCCCGCTTCTGTTCCTAGTCCCCTATTATACCTTCTCCTGTGCCTGTCAAGGGGTTGGATGTGTCTTCTTCATGTCTGGAAAATGCTGCCTTTGTCCCTGAGACAAGGCAGCACAAAGACTTGGCAAACTCCCTGGGAGCAGAGAGGAAAATGCCTCTCGTTTCTTCCAGGCTCCTACAGCAACTGGGAACAAGATAATTAGTGTCGCAACAGACTCTTCCTGCCAGAAATATCTCACCCCGTCTTTTCACAAGAAAAGGAACAAAGCTGGGCATTTTATTGTAATAGGATTAGAAAACTTCAGAGCACAAAATGAGGTCATAGGGCCACTTGGATGTCTGAGATGAGTAGAGTACTTGCCTGCTGCACTTCAAGAGTGGTCCTTCCAAAGACTCAGTCATTAAGTTAGATTCACTGGCCTTGTGCAGTGACAAGGTTTGAATTCAATACCAAATGCTTAGAAAACACCAGCAGTATCTATAGTCAGTGTATTAAATAAGCACCCAGATCTCTTCCTCTCACTGCCCTGTATCCTCATATATATTTTACTATGGTTTTAGTTTAGCATGGGTTTCCATCAAAAAGAAGTCTAGTTTGTTTTTCATATTGGAGAGAATAAATTATTCCCAGTCTCTCTGTATCACATGTACACAGATAGCACAAGCCTGTCCCACTCCATGGAAGAGCCAAGAATGTCACTCTCTACTTGAAATATAGTCTCCTCTAAGGAACTGAGGCTAGAATGAAATGTTTAAATGGATAATACATAATCAACTCTACCTGGTTCCCGCAGCATTTACCTGAGTGCAATCACTGATCAGTGGTGACTTCAAATCTTGATATAAGGTCAAGCGGCTTCTTGAAATAGTGGAGGGCTGCCTTGACTTTGGGTGGTGATGTTGACAGCTCCCTGCTACTGAGCCTCTTGTTAGCAGATATTAGACAGTGGTCTTAGCTCCAGGACTCTGAAATCACAATCTAGTTTCTAAGCATTTTGTTTTCAACTTTTTTTAGTTAAAAAAAAAAAAAGTAGGGAGTCGGATAGTGGCAGCACACATGTGCCTTTAAACCTAGCACTGGGGAGGCAGAGGCAGGTAGATCTCTGAGTTTGGGGCCATCCTGGTCTATAGAGCAAGTTCCAAGATAGCCAGAGCTACATAGAGAAACCATGTCTCAAAAAAGAAAAAAAGAACTGGGATAGATATGTAAAATAAGAAAAAAATTAAAATAAATTTAAAAAAAGGAAGGAAGGAAGGAAGGAAGAAAAGAAGAAAGAAAAGGAAGGAAAGAGAAAGAAAAAAGTAGGAATAATAAATACAGCATTTTAAAGACTGTCATTCAACTCTATACAAGGCTTCTGATGACTACTTATTTTTCTAAATTGATCACAGGATGACTATCAAAGAGTCTAGATTTCAATGGCCTTTAAAAACAGCCTCCTAGCTGCTCAACTCCAGAAGATGACTTGATTTACAGGGAGTAGATGCATCTTTTCTATTTTCTTACAGAGGATAAGTTGACTTGGAGTTTTTACAACTCCGGGGGAATATTTGCAATCACTAATCTTAAAAGCCAGTTTGGGTCTGCCTGAGGAAGCTTGTTCCAGTCCTTGGCTACCTCCAATAACACCTTCTCTGACCACATGGCACTGTTTTCTGAAGGGTTAATACCCTAATCCTAGCACCAGATTCAGAGGACTCCTAAAAAAAAAAAAAAAAAAAAAAAAAAATACATGAAGCAGTCAAAACTGCTAGACTTTTATTTATTATTCATGAATTATAGCCACATTAAGAGTTATATATCCAGAGCCAAGAGCTAATGTCAAACATCTTACATTGATTTCAAGGTGCCCAGTGTTGCTTCAAAGAGTGTGATAGTTTGGGCCCAGGGCTGGGACTGATGTCCACTGTGTCACTGATCTGCTTGCCATTGCTCATAGAGGAGAAAGGAGAAATCTTCCTTGAAAACCAAAACCACCCCACCAGAATGCATTCTTTAGCATGCTGACCCAACTTAATGATAGAAGTCCTAAGACAAAAGCTCACTTCTCCATCTTCTCTCTGTTTTTCCCACTCCTGAAGGTCCCAGTTATGAATTAAGTCCAAGGAATAGAGTTGTCTTCCAGTATCATATCTATACCATAAGTCTGTCATTACTAAGGACATCTTCGGATATTATGAGAACAGGCCTACCCATAACCTCTCTGAAGGCTGAATTTTAGACATGCATGGATTGAATGAAATCAGCACAGATAAACCTTGTCTGAGCCACATCTTTTCAAATACATTACATCCTAACCGACTGACCAAAGTTTTCCCTCCTAGCTCCTCGCCTGACCTCCCCTTCTCCCAGATCAGCTTCTCTGTTTCCATTCAGCAAAGTGTTGGCCTCCTAGGGATAAACACCAAACATGGCATAACACGTTATAAGACTAGGCACAAACCCTCATGTCAAGGCTGGACAAAGCAATTCAGTAAAAGGAATTTTTTCTTTTCAAGACTGTTTTCTCTGTGCAACCCTGGCTGCCCTGGAATTTGCTTTGTAGAGCAAGCTAGCCTAGGACTCAGAGATCTACCCACCTGCCTCTGACTCCTAAGTGCTGGGATTAAAGGCATGTACCACCACTCCTAGCTGACAAAGCCATGCCTTTCTTCTAACATCTTTATCAACAATGCACATATTTGGGGGAACTGGGAAAATAGCTCAATCTGTTAAATACTTGCTGGGTAGACATGAACATTTGAACGTAGAACACACACTTTAAAAAAAAAAAAATCATAGTGGTAGGCTTGTACTCCCAGTGCTAGATCAATGGACAGGTAGACTCAACCTGTTCCATAGCCAACCAGACAACCAAAACCAATGAACCCAAACCAATGAGAAACCCCAAGCTCAGGAAAGCAGTTAGACATCTCTTGAGGAACACTTAAGGGTATTCTCTGGCCTCCATACACGTGTGTACACATGTGTATGTACTCACAACTCTACTAATGTAAATGTACCCACACGTGCACTCCCACACACAAAAAATACGTTTTCCTCAAAGTAAGGAATTGTCTCTGAACTTAGACAGGATCCGAATAAAAACTAACACCAGAGCTCACGAAAGCAGTCACCCTTCAGAGAAGCCTTGTATTCCCAGTGTCTGGCATATGGAAGAGGCTTCATAAATAAATATTTGGAAAGTAAAGGAGCCTAACAGAGGAAAAGTAGAAAAAAAAAAGAGGAAAAGAAAGCAGAACAAAATCTTGTCCTTAGTATCCTATGGAGAAGGGGGGAGGGTTACTATGCTCTATGGATACATTTGGATCCTATATACCCCTTCTGCAGTAAGCTTCAATTTGAGTATGATAGTATACATTTGATTTGAAACCACAACGACACCTTTCAATAGATAAACAGCATAGATAGGCTACAAGTAAAACTGTAAGACAGACACTTAGCAAACTCCTCTTTTGGTTAGCAGGGGGAATGTGAGGCAGGCTGCTGGCCATGGCACACTGATCCCATAAGTTTCTGCAGGATCGCCACGTGCTGTGGAAATACAGTGTGTGCCTAGATGACTCAGCACGCTGGAACACTTGAAAACCAGTTATTTAAATATAAGGCTCTCCTCCTTTTTAATTGTGGGCACTTAGAATGTGATTTCATATCCAAGAGTGAAATCAAGGCATAACAATTATCTGAATGTTTTGTGCCAGAATTGCCCACTTTTATACTTTTGAATTCTGGCAATTGAAGATTGAATAATTGAAGGATTCAGGGAAGACTGAGTTATTTTCATATTAAATGTCTCAAATCAGCAGTTTACTTGGTTTGGCCTTGGCTTTCTCTAATCAAACTAGGTTTTTCATGTGGAAAGAGGGTCCTCTTGAGGGTGTTCAAAGCCCCTATCTCAGAGCAAAGATGCCCTTTCAAAGGATGAGCTATAGTATCATTAACCTAGAAAGAAACTTTTTAACTTATTTAATTGACTTTTCATCAAGATTATATTAAGTACATATGGGTAATAATAACCAAAAAAAATATCTGTCTGGCAAATATGGCAGAAGGGCTGAGGAGACCCCACCCTTTTCTACGGAGCTATTTGCTGATAGATTTGAGGTGGAGAATAGCTGTTTTCAGATGCATACCTACTAGTAGTCCCTTCAGTGGCTTCCTCCAATCTAATGCTTAAATTAAACGGGACACAAACAAAAGCATGAATCTCAGAGAGGAACTGGTAGAGATGGGGAGCACACTGGTACAAATTGGGGAGAGAAGAGAGAATTGAGGGAGAAAGTAATGAGAATGTATTATATACATGTGTGAAGTTGTCCAAGAACAAACGTAATCAATAAAAAAGCTGCCCATCTTGAGCACTTCCCCCTCATCCACTACACATATTCTGAATCTGCTCTGCCCTTTTCTCTCAATTTTTCTTCAGTATTCTATATTTCTTCTTTTCTTTCTCTTTCTTTCTTTGTTTTCATTTGTTTGTTTTGTTTTGTTTTTCAAAACAGGGTTTCTCTGTATTGCTTTGGAGAGTGTCCTGGAACTTACTCTGTAGATCAGGCTGGCCTTGAACTCACAAAGATCTGCCTGCCTCTGCCTCCCGAGTGCTGGGATTAAAGGCATGCCTCACCAACTCCCAGCTAATAGTCTGTATTTCTAAACACAATGCTCGTAGAAATGGTCAGTCTCCCTGTCCTCTACTGGCATCCCACTATAGATGATAAAAATACGAATGCACTTGAAATAGCTCAGAAAATATTCCAGATGCTTTACACATCTCTGCTCTTTTAATCTTTACAATGATGTATATGACAGATACTATTATTATCCACATTTTGCACACTGGAAAAAGACATGGATGATTATGCATCTTGCCCAAGATTACACAGTAATGATGGTTATAAATTATGGAGCCAAGGTTTGAATTTGAACAGTCTGGCTCTAGAGTTCAGTCTAACAGTAAGTCCTATTTTATCCTTTCCCTCTCTCCCCTCCCCTTCCTCCCTCCTTTTTTTTTTTTTTTTTTTTTTTTTTTGTCTCCCTGAGGGTTGGATATTGAACCCAGGACTACATGCATTCTACCCAAACACCCTACCACTGAACTACATCCCTGACTGTCTCTTCTTATCAACCCACAAGGACTCAATCAGGGGGAACCCCAAGATATCCTCCTCTAAGTTCCATAGTTGCTTTTAAGTTTATACACATGAGCCCTTAGGGGACACACTCCAATCATGTCCAAGTCATACTAGTAAGCAAGCAGCAAGCATGGTTTTGAGATCATAAAGCCACACTTTTAGGTTTGTCCCGCATCCAAGTGTTAGAACCACCACCAGCAGCACGTGATTGTATCTTGTGTAGCAACAGTAAGTTGCTAAGTATGGAAAGGCTTGCCCAGGAACAAAGGCTAGCTCCTTTCTGGAAGCTTTTAAACAGGACACATCGAATACCTCACATCGAATACCTCGTGAAGATGAATGTATCTTATCCAGAGGAAAAAATCACTTACAAAAACTGTCTGTCCCTCTGTCTTCTCTTCCACAGACCTAGTAGAGAGTAAGTATTGAGCAGGAAACAGCACTCACGTTCCTGAGTTTCCTATTTCCCACATGTTCACCTATTTTCAGTCCTTCAACATGCCCCTCAGCAATCATCCCTAAATGACTCCAGCTTTCTGTGGAATTCAAAGTGTCACCAATGATTCCTTGTAAGGAAACTATAAAAAAAAAAAAAAAAACCCAACCAAACAAAAAACCCTCTTGCTTCCATTCAAGCCCAGCACTATACCTGCTATCATGTTTTTCTCTGATTAAGTCCCCTTGACTACAGAGTGTCTGGACTCCAATCAGTGTGGCTAAGAAATTGCTCCTGGAGCCAAATTCAAATGTGTTCAGTAAGTGTGCATTTTTAACATGATGGCTGCTTTCATTACAGTTAAACAGTGGCTTATATGAAGAGCAAATAATGTGCCTTCTGGAATGAAGTGCTCTTCAGGATGGTTTGGAGATAGATAATTTCCATTTTTGGTGAGCTGTTTAGTAGCATCGCCTTGTAACTTGACCATAGTTTTATCTAATTTTGGCCTGTGGTTTCTCTTCTACTTAGGCTTAATGACATCAATCGAAACATGAAGAAAACCTACAGCAGAAAGCACATTGCTGAGCCAGAATCAAAAGAACTCTTCTTATAGATCTTTTTTATTAGTCCTATGCATGCCCTACGGCCACCATTGGAAGTTCCTGGAGATGACTCACTGTGGCAATAAAACAGCACCTCACCAGCAGAACAGAATATCTGGATGCCTTAAGTTTATAACCTGAGACTCTTTCTCAGATACATTTTGGACCCTATCTGTACAAGGAACTTTTTTGTTTTTCCAGATGCTATTTAAAAACATGATTGGGCAATGTATGCATTGAAGCATTTGAAGTTCGGTTGATGCTGCCTTCTCAAAGCACATCCCCCAGGCTCTGACACCATTGGTGTTTTTGTCCGTTGCATGAGGATTTGCTGGTGTTAAGTGATATTTCCTTCCTACACAACAAGGGCAGCTTTGGCTCAGCTCCGTGAGGCTAGGTCGCTGGTATTATTTTCTGTCAAGAGTGTTTTTCTGTCATTTCTACTTTTTTAATAAAGAAACTTAAACATTGTTAATAGCCACGTCTGAGCACGGGGCCTCTACTTCCTATTAAATCTGTGACATTCTGATTTTTAAAAGGCTCTGGAAGTATTTTAATTGCTGACTGACACTCGATATCAAGAACAAACTGGTCTGTTTATCTCATTTCCTGGAGTGGAGGGGTCAAATAAAACATTCTATACTTCATTAAGCACAGAAAGATCAGACAAGAATGCGTCCTTCTGCCTTCTTAAAAGGCAGCGTTGACATGGGAAAACACTAATGACAACTAAAGATTTAGTCCTTTCTTGAGTCACTGATTTCTGCCTCCAACACGTCATGAGACTTGTCTAATCCCTGTGGGAGACAGTGTGGAGCCTAAGTTCATAACATCCTTGTTGTTGACATAGCCCCTTTAATCCCCATAAGCAATGACTTACAGGAAGGTTCATCTTATCGTGGAAAAATACATTTCTGTTGAAACTACAAGAGTTTTATTTTCAAAGTATTGCTGTGGCCTATGAGACACTCAGGTTGTTGCTTAAGAACAGACTGTCTTCTTACCAGCAGGAGTAGTACAAATACTGCTATAGTGATATCCCTGAAATGGCCCTGCCATCTAATGTGGATCACTGTGTGCACAGAGCAGGCCAAATGTCTGAATCTGCAAGGCTAGGCTTGCAAATGTGGGCCAACTTGATTTAATGAGACACGATGACATATAGGAGTTAATATTTGAGTGTCTTTTATGCATCAGCCACTATGTGGTGATATCACTGTTCCCATTTCATAGATTAGAAATGTAGCTTTGAAGACACGTAAGTTCTGTGTCCAAAGTTTACAACACTAGTTGATAGCAGATGAGACACTGGTCAAAATAAAAAGTAAAAATTAAAAAACGTGTTCATCATTCTTGCTGTACTATCCTTCAATCTTATGCTGTGTTATCTTCCTGGGACAAAGCCATGGATGGCTCTTTGGTCTTGGACAAGCAATGTTGCCTTCTTGTGAATTGGAAAATGGTAAGAACAACCTACATACACAGCTCAAAAGAAGGCTCCTGGTTGGACAGTAGTGGTGCTTGCTTTTAATCCCAGCACTTGGGAGACAGATAGACATATATCTATGGGTTAGAGGGCAGCCTGGCCTACAGAGTGAGTTCCAGAACAGCTAAGGCTACATAGAGAAATTCTGTCTCAAAAAAAAAAAATGAAAGAAGGAAAAGGAGGAGAAGGAGAAAGAAGAAGGGGAAGAAGAAGAAAGAAGAAGGAAGAAGAAGAGGAGGAGGAGAAGAAGAGGAAGAGGAAGAGGAAGAGGAAGAGGAAGAAGAAGAAGAAGAAGAAGAAGAAGAAGAAGAAGAAGAAGAAGAAGAAGAAGAAGAAGAAAGGAAGAAAGTCTGTAGACTTCCAGCAGTCTACAATGCAAGACATCTGTAAGTTTCAGTGAGGTCAATGTATCCTCACTTGGTTTGGGGACTTTGTCACTCATGCCCTATTTTCCTTCTTTATACTATTACTTGAGATTTTAACATAGAACACTAGGTAAATGCATATGAACAGCAACTTCCTGTTTCCTGTCTGATACAGATGAAGCCACAGGACCCACATAAGGAAGTAACATATAACTCTTGGCCCCAATCTCCAAAAAGTGATCCCTCTGTCCCCAAGAGGTCCCAATTTTCTTCTGAAACTGTTTTTAAATGTGGAAGGTGAAGGGTCTAAGCATTTTTGCAATACAGAGAATAATTAAACATAACAAAGAGGGGCTGGAGAGATGTCCCAGGGGTTAAGAATACTGATTGCTCTTACAGAGAACAAGGATTCAGTTCCCAACAGCCATACAGTGGTTCATAACCAGCTATAAATCTAGTACAAGATCTGATGTGATCTGACCTCTCCAGGCACCAGGCATGCACATGGTACACAGACATACATGCAGGCAAAGCATAAACAAGGAAATGTCAAGAGTTTGAGTGAATGAACTTCGACCTAGAAACCTCTACACTTCAACTGTGTAAAAATAACATTTAGATCACAGGATAATGAGTATGGCAGAGCAACAGGAGGAGTAAATCAGGAAGGTTGAGCAGACTTCTACAAGCTGGCCTGAAACCCACACATTCTCTAGCTAATGGTATTGCTGGTCACTAAAAATGCTGACCCTTGTCATACATGGATATGTCTTTATTGCTCTAGTTCCTTGGGAAGCATAAATTAGAGAGGCTTGACATTAGCAAAGACTTTTCTTCATCACAAAGTTTCATACAACATATACAAAATGAAAATGGAAACTTATTTTTCTCTAGGAATTGAGACACGTGTGCGTGTTATAGAAAGAGAGTGGGAGCAAGCATGGCTCCTTTGAGCTAGCAAACTTTTGGGGCCCCTGCCCCAGCTTCCCCTTCCCATTGGGCTAGTAAAATGAGCAAAGCTCTATCAACATGCCTAATGGCATGCAGCAGAGTAGGAAACTTGGCTCCACAGGGGGGCAGGGGGAAAACAATCACAGCATCTGTCAGCATCTTGTAAAGATTGGCTTCTTTTATGTCTCCAAAGGGACCTGTATTGCCAAAGTTCAACACATCAAATTAAGAATGTTTCTCAGAAACAATAAGATACCAAACTCTCGCCACACTCAACAGATTGAATTCCTGTTGCTTATTCATGTTAAACAGTGTCAAAGACCTCACTCCTAATGAGAACGTTCTAGGTGTTTATCAGGGGTTTGGTAGTGGGGATAAAACTCTCGAGGCTGTCTTCAAATAAGAATTTGATTGTGTGTGTGTGTGTGTGTGTGTGTGTGTGTGTGTGTGTGTGTGTTGATGACAGAACTCAGAGACTACCCGTGCTAGCCAAATGCTCTCTACCACTGAACTCCACCCCCACACGAATAGTTTAAGAATTTTCCCCCTCAAAGTAAAAACACAAGCCAGGCATGGAGACACATACATGCCTGTAATCCTAGCATTCCAGAGTCAGAAGCTGGACACTCACAAGTTCAAGGCCTCGCAGTGAAATGCCATTTCAAAAAGCAAACACAAAAAGTGAGTAACTATAACAAGATGGTGATGCATAACACAAAAAGATAATTATGCAAACGTGCTTAAACCCCTCAGAACCTCTTTAATACAAGTGGGCTAAACGCTTATTCTTTCATGCTTTCCTATGAGTTTATGTTACACTGATAAGGCTAAGTGAGCATAAGGAATTCATCGCAGCAGGCAGCACTATTTCCCCATAAAATGAAAGTCATCCTGTCTACAGCTTGTGACTTTCAAGGGCAGATGGGCTGGCTTTGGTCTTATGCTTTCCCCCATTAACCATTGAGTAGTTTGGTATGACTTCTTATGGAATTGATTCCTGTCTTCTATTGAACCAATAAATCTATTAATCTTAACAAAATTTCAGCATTACCATATGGATGTTCCTAAGCAGATATTGACAACTCCTTTTAATATTACAAATCTCCCTTTCCTCCTTATTCTCCAACTTCTTTTCCCTTCTTTACTCCCTCTCAACTCTAAAGTCATCTCCCAAACTTTTTTGTTTCATTCTTCCCTGGCCTCTGTTCACAAGACCTTGAAACCCCTTATTTTAGTCTTGTTGCTGAGGTGAAGCACCCTAACAAAGACAACTTGAGGAAGAACACATTTATTTTGGCTCACATACTGAAGTGAGGCTCAAGCAGATTAGGGCAATCAAGGCAGAAGGAGCTTGAAGGAGTTGGTATTATATGCAACCAGGGAGCAAACAGCAGCAAATATTAGTGTTTGGCTAATTTCATGTATTCAGTCCAGGATCACAGCCCAGGGAAATATGTCACCCACAGAGAAAAAAATAACCCATACTAATTAACCAAATTGAGAGATTTTTTTGTAGGTAATCCCAGAAGGTAGTAGCCTAGGTGATTTTATTTTATTCCATCAAGCCAACAAAATGTGGTTAATCACAATAACCTGACACTTGCTAACTTGACACTCAGGCACATCACTTTATTTTTTAATTAATTTTTTATTTAAATTAAAAACAATCTTATTTTACATACCAATCCCAGTTCCCTCTCCCTCCCTCCCATTCCCCCAACCATCTCCCCATCCCACCCCCATCCACTCCTCTGAGAGGGTGAGGCCTCCCATGAGGGGGTCATCAAAGTCTGCCACATCATTTGGGGCAGGGCCTAGGGCAGCCCCCTGTATCTAGGCTGAGAGAGTATTCCTCCACATGGAATGGGCTCCAAATAGCCAGTTCATGCACTAGGCATAAATACTGGTTCCACTGCCAGCAGCCCCATAGACTGCCCAAGCGCCCCAACTGATACCCACCTTCAGTGGGCCTGGTTGGGTCTTAGCAGGTTCCCCAGGAGTCAGCTTGTAGTCTGTGAGCTCTCACTTGCTCAGGTCAGCTGTTTCTGTGGGTTTCCCCAACATGGTCTTGACCCCTTTGCTCCTCACTCTACCCTCTCTACAACTGGATTCCTGGAGTTTAGCTCAGTGCTTAGCTGTGGGTGTCTGCTTCTGCTTCCATCTGCTCTTGGATAAAGGCTCTATGATGACATTTGAGGTAATCATCAATCTCATTATAAAGAGAATCAGGCAGGTTGAGTTAGGCAAAGGACAGAGAAGGAGCGCAGGGAAAGATACCTTGATAGAGGGAGCCATTATGGGCTTAACAAGAAGCCTGGCAGTAGGGAAATTTCCAGGAATCCACAAGGATAACCCAAACTAATAATCTAAGCAATAGTAGAGAGGCTACCTTAAATGCCCTTCCCCTATAATGAGATTGATGACTACCTTAAATGCTATCATAGAGCCCTCATCAAACACATCACTTTAAATCACAATCTTCCCACTCTTTGTCTCCAAAGTTTCATGGCCATCTCACAATGAAAATATAATCAAACTTCAAAAGCTCCAATGAGATTTAGCAATTCTAACAGTGTCAAGATCCAAAGCCCACATCTCATCTGAGACTAAAAACAATCTCTAAAAAGTGAGAGCTCCTAACAAAAAGACAAGTTGTATGTTTTCAACTTATAATGACAGAACAACCATTCCCACTTGCAAATGCAAGAGTCATGATGCAGCATAGAATGATTAGAA